GAGGCGGTTGGCCAGGTGAGTCGGAGAGCACGCCAGAGTGCCAGTCAGCCCAGGAGGCTAAAGCCCACAGCAGCCCACGTAGACCACGCGACGGAGCCATGCAGGGGGCAGCGGTGGCTGAAGGGCAGCGCGGGCAGACGGAGGGAGCGTACCAGAGGTCCTAAGACGTGGGGCCCGCGATACCGCCTGCTCGCCCTGCCCAGCAGCCGCCCACGCCCCCCCCCGGAACTTGAGCGCGGGAAAAAAATAATATTTTATTTAAATATTTATAATAATTAAATATTTTTTTAAATATTAATTTTAATATTTTATTTTTATTTCTTAAAATATTTTTAAAATTATATAAAATTTCTATATATTATTACATTTGGCTTTACCTTTTATTTATTAACTAATATATTATATTAATATTTTTTTAAGTATTATTTAATTTAAATTAATATTATTTTTGATATAAGGGTTTATTGTTATATATCTAAAATTATTTTACTAATTTTTTATTTTTATTTAATTTAATTGAATTATTAAATGAAATTAAAAAAAATAAATAATTATCTTTAAAATTCAATGAACAAAATAAACATAAAATATAATTTTCTGAATTTTGAGCTATAACCTTTATATTTGAATTTGGCTTTATTCCTTTATTTATTTTATATATTTTATATATAATTAAATAATTATTAAAATTTCAATTTTAAAATATCTAATTAAATAATTTAAAATACATTTTATATGAACAGATCCTCCATATTTTTCTATAAAATAATAGTGATCGCGGATAATTCCGACCCTGTCGGAATTGGATTTATGCGAATTATTCGTGTCGCGAATTTTTTTATTATCTGGTAAAAAAAATATTTGATAATTTTTTAAAATTATAATTCCTAAAACTTTGATATTATTAATATTTCCCCACCTGCCAGGTGAGGGTTGTTAGATTTTATGTCAATTGCCTGCTCATCCTTTCCTTTCCTTTCCTCCTTTCCTCCTTATCTCCTCTCCTCCTCCTCCTCGTCGTCGTCCTCCTCGTCCTCCTCGTCCAATTGCGACCCGCGATCCACAGTGTTCTCTGTCGGACCTCAACCACGACCATCCATGCTCAGTGTTCCCTGCCGGACCTCAACCGCGAGTATCCATGCCAAGTGTTCCCTGTCGGACCTCAACCATAACCATCCACGCCCAGTGTTCCCTGCCGGACCTCAACCACGACCATCCCCGCCCAGTGTTCCCTGCCGGACCTCAACCGCGACCATCCACGCCCAGTGTTCTCCGCCGGACCTCAACCGCGAGTATCCACGCCAAGTGTTCCCTGCCGGACCTCATGTAGGAAGATATGGGACAAAGAATGCGCAGAAGAAAGTTAGAAAGAATGTCAGAAAGAATGTCAGAAGATATGCCAGAAAATATGCCAGATAGAATGCCAAATAGAATGCCAGATAGAATGCCAGATAAAATGCCAGAAGATATGTCAGAATATATGCCAGAAGATATGCCAGATAGAATGCCAGATAATATGCCAGAAGATATGCCAGATAGAATGCCAGATAGAATGCCAGAAGATTTGCCAAATAGAATGCCAGAAAATATGCCAGAAGATATGCCAGATAAACTTGAGAGGGGGAACACGAAAGGTA